ACCAACACTTAAGCAATATCTCACATTTAAGTGTTAACCTGATTAATTGAGACTCATCCAGAGGATCCCCACAGTCCTCTGTTCATTGCTTCAGACATCTTCAAAACAAGTAAACATGATTTTATATAATAAAAAATTTCTCATTATCCTATTTGAATAAAAATTAGAATATTTTTACCATGTTTGTTCCAAGTTGTTGAATATACCTTAGTGGAATTGGGTCTGAAGTAAATATAATTTTTATCATTTTCATTATCATGAAAACATTTATTCTCTTTTTTAAAAAAATACAAGAAGTGGGGCTGGAGCAATAGCACAGCAGGAAGGGCATTTGCCTTGCACACAGCTGACCTGAGTTCGATTCCCAGCATCCCATATGGTCCCCCGAGCACCACCAGGAGTGATTCCTGAGTGCAGAGCCAGGAGTAACACCTGTGCATCGCCGGGTGGGACCCATAAAGAAAAAGAAAAAAGAACAAGAAGTAAACTGTACCAAGCAAGGTGACAGGAAAACCATTATCCCTTCACATTTCAAACTGTATTTTTGCTGACATTTTTAGGAGATCTGCTGAGATACGAAGCAGGTGTAAGACACTCGAGGTAGGCTCCTGTCAGTGGCTAAGAACTAGAAAATAACCCAAATTTTCCCACCCAACCAGCATGCAGCTGTAAGGTCGGGGACACAGAGTCAGTGGGCAAACTGGGGAAGCAGATCTCTGTCCAGTGCTGAATTGTGTCCCCTCAATACCTATCTTGTAAATATGACCTTATCTGGAAACAAGGTGTTGACAAAAGTTCTCACAGTAAGATAAAGATATTGGGATTGGCCCAAGTCTAAGGGCCAGTGTCCGTATAAGAACAGGGAAAAGAGACGCAAAGACAACAGCAGTTGTGTAAAGCTTGAGGCAGCCTGATGAAGCAGTCACAAAGCTGCAGAGACAGTAAGCAGGCAGGGCAGTTGCCTTGCTGTGGCCAAACAGGGTTCAATCCCCAGTATCCTATATGGTCCCTGGAGCACCGTCATGAGTAATTTCTAAGTAGAGAGCCAGGAGTAACTCATGAACATCATCAGGTGTGGTCCAAAAACAAAAAAACAAGGCAGTAACAAGTCAACGACCATCTTATGATGTGAAGTCTACCTTATGATGTGATGGAGATAAAACAGCATGCCAAAAACTATAAACAAAAATTTTAGGCTGATTTGGGCTGTTAATTATCCCTTAACTGGAAAATATTCAGAAATTCCCCCCAAGGTCCTCTCTCCTTAGATGACTAGTATTTAATATGTGCAAATGTCTGGAGCGATAGCACAGCGGGTAGGGCGTTCGCCTTACAAGCGGCCAACATGGCCGACCCGAGTTCGATTCCTCCGCCCCTCTCAGGAGCCCAGCAAGCTACCGAGAGTATTCGATATGCCAGACACAGTAACAACAAAGTCTCCAATGGAGACGTTACTGGGCCCGCTCGAGCAAATCGACGATCAACGGGAGGGCCCTTACCTTTTACCTCGAGCAAATGTCTTGCCCATATTCCTTTTCGAAAAATAGTCCATTCTCTGAAGAAATGCTCCCATAAGTGAGGTAAATACTAAGATAACATAAAGTTCTTTCAATAAAAACAATAATAGAATTAAATAAACATGCCTATTAAAATTAAAAATTATGTCAACTGATATTAAAACTTATATAAGATTTGGTGCTGAAGAGATGGTAGAGACAGTGGGTAGGAGGTTTGCCTTGCATATGGCTGACCTGGGTTTAATCTTTAGCATCCCATATGGTCCCCTGAGACCACCAGGGGTGGTGAGACCACCTGAGCACAGAGCTAGGAGTAAGACCTGGGTACCACCAGGTGTAGCCCAAAAACAAAACAAAAATTGTAAGACTGATAAGATAGATTGATAAAAGGAAACTGATAGTTCTAGATTCCTTATCCCTTGAGTATAGTATAATCCTAAATGGAATTAAAATTCTTTGGGACCAGGGATATAGCTCAGTGGTAGATCACCTGACTTGTATGTGTGAGGCCCTGGGTTTAATCCTCAGCACCACCACTGCCACCCTTCTCCCAAAACAAAAGTTTCACCTAGTCAAAACCTTAACTTGCACTTAAATTTCTGTCAACGTGGGAAAATGAAGGTCTCAATATATGCAAGTATGTCCAGTATTCTCATGGGTGTATCACTTTAAATAAACACAATTGTTTCCATTTTTAAAGTACTATATGAGCCAGCATGATTTTAATGATACTGCTAACATACAGTGATTAAATATGAATTATACACCCTACTATTTAGGAGAAAAGATGTACTCATTCAAAATCTTATGCCGAACAGCAGCAGAAAACAAAATTTTGAAACCAACAGTGTCTTTCCTATACCCCGACAAGGATCATAATTTAGACTAAAAACTGGCAAAGTACATCCTCCAAAGAACTATCACTGAATTGTATGGAAGAGAATAACTAAAACTCCAGGATATCTTAAGCAAGTTGGGAAAATTCTCACATATATCAATATAACTGCCATTCTCTACTAAATTTAGAAAATTATGACAGTTTTACAAGCATAGATTATTCATGAATACATTTTCCTTCAGGTTAATTTGAGGAAACCTGCTTTTTCCAGATGATATCAAAGAACAGTCAGCTAGTATATTCATAATCTCAAAGTCACATAGTTTATCTATTTTGGGGGTGGGTGATTTGGGCCACATCCAGCGGTGTATGGGGCTTAGTCCTGGTTCTGTGCTCAGGGATTACTCCTGGAGGTAAACAGGGAACCATATGTGCTCTCAGGGATAGAACCTAGGTCGGCTGCATACGAGGCAAATTCCTTGTCCACTATGCTATGGTTCATTGAGAAACTCTATGCGCCACATGGTTTATGCTAATCTCTGAGGGTTCTTTAGTCCATTTCTTAAACCTGAATCCTACTAAGTCATTTCCATACTATCCCTAAGCTGTCCAAACTTCTTTGAGAAAAATACTCTATTCTCTGGAGAAACACTCCCTAGTGTAAAACCACCAGTAATACCCTCAAAGTTTGTAATGTAGTCTGCAGAAAGCCTGGTTGAACCCCCTTTCTTATTTTACAGTTGGCAAAGTATAAAATAATGGCACATCTTATATCAAAACTTCATCAAATATATAAGTAATTTACCATCCCAAAGTTTACCTGTTGCATAGATCTCACATAGCAACCACACTACAAAAAGAAATGAATAAGGAAACTGCACTACAAATCTCTAAACATTTGTACTCTCAGCCAGGAACTGTTCACCTGCCAAAATACTGATTAATGAAATGACCTTTCAATGCATTTTCAGTCTTCTTGGTTCCAGTTGTGCAACTTGTGCCCTACATCCTTGCAGATGTGCCTCTTTTTTTCATGTTCAAGATCAATGACTTGGAAACTACAATTTGGCATGAATTTCTGTCTTAATAAATGAAGAGAATGCCTGTCTCCTAATGTGAGTGATCCTAGCTTGGTAGCATTACGAAAAGTAAAGCATTAATGATCAGAGCAGTGCTAGGAAAATGTAACTCATGTGAAAACTTTCACCCAAAGCCCAAGGAGATGAACTCAATGGACTGAGACCGTGTTTTGTGTGCAGAAGTCCCATGTTCAATCCCTGCACAGTATGGTTCCCTGTGCACCAAGCTGGGAATAGCCCCTGAGCACTACCCATGAGACACAAAAAAAGAAAAACAAAACTAAGCTAAACTAAAACAAACACCAACTTCAGTGCAAGAAAATTTGGTGGGTAAAATCAACTTTTATATTTAAATCAGTATTCTCAATTCAGCCTGTTTGTTGAACTAACTAAAATGCTTTTTGAAAACGTTGATGCCAGGAGCTTGAGAGATAGGATGGATAGTGGGTAAGTCTGGAGAGATAGGATAGTGGATAAGTCACTTGCCTTGCACATAGTGATCCAAATTCAATCCCTGGATCCCCCAAGCACTACCAGGAGTGATCCCTGAGAACAAAACCAGGAGCTGAGAGTGGTACAAAATGGAAGGAAGGAAGGAAGGAAGGAAGGAAGGAAGGAAGGAAGGAAGGAAGGAAGGAAGGAAAGAAGGAAAGAAGGAAGGAAGGAAGAGGAGGGAGGGAGGGAGGGAGGGAGGGAGGGAGGGAGGGAGGGAGGGAAGGAAAGAAGGAAGGGAAGGGAAGGGAAGGGAAGGGAGGGGAGGGGAGGGGAGGGGAGGGGAGGGGAGGGGAAGGGAAGGGAAGGGAAGGGAAGGGAAGGGAAGGGAAGGGAAGGGAAGGGAAGGGAAGGGAAGGGAAGGGAAGGGAAGGGAAGGGAAGGGAAGGGAAGGGAAGGGAAGGGAGAGAGGCAGGGAAGGAGAGAGATAGAGAGAAAGGGAGAAAAGGAAGGAAGGAAGGAAGGAAGGAAGGAAGGAAGGAAGGAAGGAAGGAAGGAAGGAAGGAGGGAGGGAGGGAGGGAGGGAGGGAGGGAGGGGAGGGGAGGGAGGGAGGGAGAACTGAATCTGGATCAGCAGCTTGTAAGGCAGGTACCCTATCCAAAGTACTATCATTACCTATCATTTTTTATACGTCATACAATAGTATTTCTTTCTTTTTCAATCACTTAAAAATGATAACGATCACCCTTAGCTTACAGGTCATACAGAAACAGATGACAAGCCAGATTTGGCTCAATCAAAGTATACTGAAACCCAGAATTGAATATACTGTTCCTTAATCTTCACTCAGACACATCTGCTCAGTGACTCAATCAATTCTTTTAAAATGTTAGATTTCGGAGCTGGAGCGATAGCACAACGGGTAGGGAGTTTGCCTTGCACGCAGCTGACCCAGGTTCGATTCCCAGCATCCCATATGGTCCCCTGAGCACCACCAGGAGTAACTCCTGAGTGCAGAGCCAGGAGGAAGGAACCCCTGTGCATCGCCAGGTGTGACCCAAAAAGAAAAATAAAATAAAATAAAATAAAAATGTTAGATTTCAATCCTTGAGAAAGATCCCCTTCATGGGTACCTTCAGATTCGAGCTGGTCCAGGCTATAGGAGGCAGCTGTATTCACATGGTGGATGGATGGAAGGATGGTTCTTGTCTCAAAAGAGGCCTCAGAATCAAGAAGTGCTGGGAAAATGCTGGGTGGCTCCTCTGTTATCCCAGGGGGTGTCCCTGGAAAGTCCAGAACTGGTGTGAAGAATTCCTCACTTGGTCTGGTGACTGTGTCTGTTACATCTGCCAAACACACAAGACAGGGTTTGATCCAAATGTGACACTGTGTACCAGGGCTTTCTCTTCTTAAATAAGAAACAGTTTGTGAAATGCCTTATACTTGATAACCAGACATCCCTCTCTAACCCAAATCATTCTTAGATAACAAAGAAAAATATATTATCTTCCAGAAAAACATTATTTTTTAAATTTTATTTGTTTATTTATGTATTTTGCTTTTGGGGCCACACCTGGCAATGCACAGGGTTACTGCTGACTCATGCACTCAGGAATTACTCCAGGCAGTGCTCGGGGGACCTTATGGGATACCGGGAATCGAACCTTGGTCAGCCACATGCAAGGCAAACGCCCTACCCACTGTGCTATCGCTCCAGCCCCCAGAAAAATATTATTTACTTAAAACAGGGGCTGGAGCGATAGTACAGTGGGTAGGGCACTTGTTTTGCACATGGCCAAGCCAGGCTCTACCAGAAGTGATTCCAGAGCACAGATCCATAAGTAAGACCTGAACACTTCCAGGTGTGGTCCAAGAACAAACAAACAATAATAAATTACCCAGAATTTGTTTTAGGGGCCTCCCCAGTAGTGCTTGAGAGTCTGGACACTCCTGGAGATAATCAGCCCTGCAGGGGAGGCGTGGCAGCTCAGCATTTGGGCCAGCAATGAGTTGTTTGGGCCTGGCAGCCCTGGGGGCCACAAAGGCCACCCTGGTGGTATCAGGGCAACATGCAGTGCTGGGGACCAAGCTTGAAGCCTCACACATACAAGGGCTTTGTGCTAAATAGAATAAATCAAGCAGAGCAAAACAAATATTTGATGATCTCACTTATCTATTAAATTTAAAAAGCCAAAATCAGAGAAATAGAGAAATAGTGGAAGTAGAGTAGAGGATGAGCAAAGTGGGGAAATATTAGTCAAAGGGTATACATTTGCAGTAATAGAACTAACAAGATATGGTGATCTAATGTATATGGTGATTATAGCTAATAAGAATGTATGATGTTGACCCTGGCTAGCCAGTCTTACAATAAACCTTGCTTGCTGTTAAAAAAAAAAAATGTATGATGTAGTTGGAAGTTGCCAAGAGAGTACAACTTAAATATTTCCACCACAAAAAAAGAAATTATATTTGACTGCAATAAAGGTGGTAGTTAATACTATGGGGGTAATCAATTTGCAATATGCAAATGTATCAGCACATACACCCCATATAATGTTTTATATTGAACATATCTAATAAATCTGAGATTTATAAGATGTCAGAGGGGCTGGAGAGATAGTACAGTAGATAAATGTTTGCCTTCTACACACCAGACCCAGGTTCAATCCCTGGCATCCCATATGGTGCCCCCATCACTGTCAGATGTAATTCCTGAGTGCAGTACTAGGAGTGACCCTTGAGCATCATCAAAGATTGTGACTGCCTTCTCTGCCCCCCTCCCAAAAGGGGCTAAAATTTTTTTAAAGTAGGCCAGATACTTTTTTTAAATTTTTATTAGTGAAACACCATGAGGTAGAGTTGTAGACTTTCAAGTTTCAGTTATACAATGATAGAGTACCCATCCCTCCCCCAGTGCCCATTCTCCACCAGCAATGATCCCAGTATCCCTCCCATCCCCCCAACCCCCATCCCATCCCGCCTTTGTGGCAGGATATTCCCTTTTGTTCTCTCTCTAAAGGAGCTAAAAAAAAATTTTTTTTTAAAAATTAGCTGTACTCTTTACAATAGCCAGAAACTGGAAGAAACCTGAATGCCCAAGAACAGATGACTGGTTAAAGAAACTTTGGTACATCTACACAATGGAGTACTATGTAACTGTTAGAAAAGATGAAGTCATGAAATTTACCTACAAGTGTTACTACATGGAAAGTATCATGCTAAGTGAAATGAGTCAGAAAGAGAAGGATAGACATAGAAAGATTGCATTCATCTGGGGGATATAAAGTAACAAAATATGAGATTAATGTCCAAGAATAGCTGAGATCAACACCAGGAGGATTACTCCATAGCTTAGAGGCCAGCCGGGCATTCTAGGGGAAAGGGCAGCTCAGATAGAGAAGGGAGCACCAAATAAAGGGTGTTTGGAGGATCTCCCAGGAGGGGAGATGCATGTCGAAAGTAGACTATGGACTGAACATGTTTGCCACTCAATGCCTCTTTTGCAGACCACAACACCCAAAAGGAGAAAGAGAACACAAGGGATTGCCCTGCCACAGAGGCAGGGTGGGGTGGGGGGGATGGGGGTGGGAGGGATATTATCCATGGTGGTGGAAAATGGGCACTGGTGGAGGGATGGGTATTTGATCATTGTATAATCGAAACCCAAGCACAAAAAAATTGTAAATCTACAACTGTACCTCATGGTGTTTCACTAACAATAATAAAATTTTTAGCTGTCAGATTAAGGCTTAAAAAAAAAGAAATAATATAGGAGCAAAGAGATAGTATAGGAGGTAACGTATGTGGCTTGCATCTCATAAACCCTTGAACAAATTTCTGGCACCACATATGGTCTCCTGAGCGCTGCCAAGGGTCACTCTTGTAAAAAGAGCCAGGAATACACCCTGGGTACCACCAGGTGTGGCTCCAAAACCAAAAAACAGAGGCCAGAGAAATAGTTGAGGGGTTAAGGTATTTTCCTTGCATGCAGCAAATACCATATTGATCCCTGTTACCATATATGATCCCCTAATCACCATCAGGAGTGAATCCTGAGCACAGAGTCGAGAATAAGCCTTGAGCACAGCTAAGTTGGCCCAAAAATCCTATCAAAAAGAGTTCTCAGAGCATTTAAAGCTTCCTATATGGAAAGAATTTCATATACAGTATTTCAAATCCTTGAACTATACAAGGCAGGGATTAACAAGATGAACAAATAGACTTTTAGAAAAAGCCAATAGTAGTAAAAATCAAGAGGATCAGAAGGATCCAGAACAAAAGAATTCAACCCTAGATCCTTCATTCTTTGCTTTCTAGCAGCTAGCATGCCAAAGGAGCATGTCTTTAAAAGGTCTGGCCGTCACGGGCCCTAGGGGTGAATTTTCAGGAGATTTTCCTTGGAAGCTAAATCCTGGTGCTTTCAGGAGGTGCCACATCTCTCCAAAGAAAGTTCAGTGACCTTTCTTGTTGACTCTCCAAGTGACCTGATGTAGGGACCTGATGCCTGGGTCTCCTGCCTCACTCATTCTATTTCTTATTAATCCACCAAGAAGACCCAACCCGGAGCCCTGAATGCATTTCCCTCCGTTTCAAACCTTCTGCAGCAGGAGTAACATGGAAAGATGGAGAGACGGTTGTCGGTGAGACTGTCATGGTGAGATGCTCCCCTTCGCTGGACAGCTGGGTACCCCCAGGAACAGCAGACGTGAGCCAGAGGGACTTCTTGCCCTCCTCTGTCTCACCATTTTCTCCTGCAGTCTCCTGGGTAGAAACCTGCTGCTCTTCTGTCACTGATGATAAGGTAGCTTCTTCTACTTGAACAGCTGTTGTCATCTCTTGAGTGATGGTATCTTAAAAGGGGGAAACAACATTTTAAAATAGACCAAATCCTGGCCTGGAGAGATAATATAGGTTGGCCTTGCACACAGCCAACCCTGGTTTGATCCCCAATGTCCCATATAGTTTGCCAACCAAGACCAGGAGTGATTGCTAAGCAGAGCCAGTAGTAACCCCTAAGACGTCAGGTATGGTAAAAAAAAATTTTTTTAAATTAAAAAAAAAAAAACCTGACCCTTAATATAGACCAAGTCACTAAACTTTAAAAAGCCACTATAGCCTAAGGTTGAAGAGATAGTACAGAGAGTAAGGAGCTTGCCTTAGGATCCCCGGTACTGTATGGTACTTCAAGCAATGCCAGAGGTCATTCCTGAGCACAGGTCTAACAATAGCCCCCAAGCACTACTGGGTAGGACTGAAAGATAAAAAAAAAATTAAAAATAAATTTAAAAAAATAAAGATAAGGGGCAATGTGCCAAGAAAAAAAAGTAGGGACCAGAGAAATAGTACAATGGGTAGGGCTCTTGCTTTGCATGCTGCCAACCCAGATTCGATGCTTGGCATCTCATATTAATTATCTTAAAAATTAAGATAAGTGCCTTACAGTAGGTTAAGGCACTTGCCTTGCATACACCTGACCCAAGGTTCAAGCTCTGGCATCACATATGGTCTCCCAAGTCCCACCAGGAGTGATCCCTGAGCACTTCCAAGTGTAGCATTGAAAAAAAGGTAATGAAAATTAAAATTCACTATATAATAAGTTAAAAAGAAAAAATTTCAGATAAGGACTTTTCCCCCTTTGTAGGGGTTGGGAAGGCAAAGGAAGCCTTCAGAACTAAAATCATCAAGCATTGTTTCCTGAGTTGTCAATTTCAAAAGTTGAGTCAGTTGTATCAGTCTAAGAGATAATGAAGATACTATAAAAACATAATCGTTTGTTAACAAACAAATTGCTAACTAAACTATACTCAGAAAAATTCAAGGGTGAGGTCTTAGAGACAGTATAGTGGGTAGGGCATTTGCCTTGCATAAGGCCTACCCAAATTCATTCCCCGAATACCATATGGTCCCCTGAGCACTGCCAGGAGTAATTCCTGAGCATAGAGTCAGAAGTAATCCCTAAGCATAGCTGGGTAAGGTCTCCCCCAAAAAACTCAAGAGTATTCGTGAATCTTCATGTCACATTTGTATTTCTGAAGGGAAAAGGGAAGTAATCATTTTAAAATTAAAGTCATAATAACCAATGTTTACTGAATTTACATTATGTACCATACACACACTTTACACTAGCTACATGGGGATATGATCTCATTTTATGTCCCCACATATGCCAGTGGGAGGTAGGTATTACACTCAGCAGAAGCCATATGTCACTGTGCTCGAAAAAAACAACCTCTCAGGCCCAACTCCAACACTTGATCAATACTCTGTAGACACAAAACTGCAAAATAATTCAGGAACCCAGTTCCCAGGCTGAGAACTCTGGGGCTTTCTCAGAGTGGGAATGGGCAGCCTCCCTGCACCCCACCTCCAGTACTTCTGGAAGTCCTGGCAGCCATGCACACCTCCCACAGCCATCTCCACACCATTTAATTGGCCAAGATCATAGAATCTGAAGTCTCTGGACTGTGCAACCATGTATGACACCTCAAAGTTCCTCAATAATTAAATTACGGTAGGACCATACCAAATTAGATGGGAAAAGACTCCAATTTAACTCAACAAACAAAAGAATAACACAAAACGCTCAAATATGGACAAAACAGCTTAGTAAATCCTTAGATAAGGGCTTTCTTAACCATGTGTTAAATATAAAGACTTTCACACAAAAAAATTATTTTTAAACTTATCAATTTTAATTTTAGAGCCCTGTTATCTAATCAATTTCAACTCTAGAATTGTATCAACAGTTGTGGGTTTTTTTATCTTTATTTTTTTATTAAAAATTTTTTTAATAGTGAGACATCATGAGGTACAGTTGCAGACTTACACATTTTTGTGCTTGGGTTTCAATTATACAATGATCAAATACCCATCCCTCCACCGGTGCCCATTTCAACAGTTGTGGTTTTTATCTACATTAAAATTAATTAATAAAATTAATTAATTTTTTAAAAAAGAATACTACCCCCAAGTCAGTTTTCTCACATCTGAATTCTGACTTAGCCACTAACCACTGTATGAACTTGAGCAAATTATTAATATCTCTGGGCCTTAAGGTATCTAGCTATAAATTGAAAAAAATGCTATCTAGAGTTGTTACAAAAATTAATTAGATGATAACACTGTACACATGGCTAGTATTTGCTAAATATTCAATAATGATCAGCTATGTGACCATATTTTATAGACAAAAAGAAACCAAAGAACCTGACTTATGTCCATCATCAGCCATAATCAGTACTCTTTATACTCTCTTAGCTACAGCCATCAATGAATGGATAAAGAAGAGTTCTATATGGAATATTATTTTGCCATATAATAAACTACTTCATTATACAACAAACAACTTGGAATGTCCTCTGCAGATTTGTATTTACTTGTAGGTCATGAAAGAAAATAAAATAGATCTTCTAATAAGTTCACTACCTTTACAACATTGTAATCTAATCAATACATTTTGTTTGTTTGGGGTTTTTTTCCCTCCTTGGGGCCCACCTGGTGGTACTCTGAAACTAGTACCACAACTAGCTGGCTTTTTGCTCAGGAATGACCCCTGGTCGTATTCAGGGGACTATATGTGGTGCTAGGGATTCAAACCAGAGTGGTGGCACCATAACCACATGCCAGGCAAATAAACACCTTTTCTCCTGTACTATCTCTCTGGTCCCACAAATGCATTATTAATGACTATTTATAAGGTTCATTATTTTCCCCTTCCTTAAGGAGGGTCTGTTTGAATATTTCAAATACTGAACCACAGCTAAAATTTAATTTCTAGGAGAACTTATTATCTCTCTTTTTAAAAACTAGCACTAGCACTAGCATTATCCTCCCATTGTTCATCGATTTGCTCAAGCGGACCCAGTAACGTCTCCATTGTGAGACTTGTTGTTAGTGTGTTTGGCATATCGAATACATCAGTCACAGGTACTTGCCAGGCTTTACCGTGCAGTAGCTTGCCGGGCTCTCCGAGGGGGGCAGAGGAATCGAACTTGGGTCGGTCAGGTCAGCCGCATGCAAGGCAAATGCCCTACCCACTGTGCTATCACTCCAGCCCTTAAAAACTACTAAATATATATGTACATATATATTAAGCATACTAGCAAATGCAATAAATTATACAATTTAAAAAATAATATTGTAGGCTTTTTCCACTCTGAAGAAGCATTTTCTCTCTTGAACACATATCTTTTTTCTTTCTCTTCCCTCACATTTCTCTAAATTGCTTTCAATAAAAATGATCTTTATTCACTTTTTAAAATAATATTTTTGAATAAATGATGGTGGAAAAGCTTTCTCAAATCTTTTACTAATAACATTATCAAACTTCCTGTAACTTAAGAGTAAATAACTTCCTCGGAAATAATTTATTTAATTTAAAATATTTGTACATTCTTCAGTGCAAGCAATTCCTTTTCTTGGTCCTCAGTTTGGAATATTTCTTATTTGGAATTGAAGATAATTTTATGTTTTACAGATTGGCATATCTATTTAAAGAGCAATGTGATTTAGGGAAAAGTTTTAACACATGCTTCTAAATATACTATTGTATTAGTCTTTTTCTTTAAAGTTTTTAAAACTGTAAATGCCTGGCATAGAAAGATTGCACTCATCTGTGGAATATAAAGTAACAGAATGGGAGACTAACACCCAAGAGTAGTAGAGATAAGGACCAGGAAGTCTGTTCCACGGCTTGGAAACTGGCCTCACATGCTGGGGGAAAAGGCAGCTCAGATAGAGAAGGGAACACCAAGCAAAGGATGCTGAGAAGACCCATTCAGGTTGAAAGATCCGTACCAAAGGTAGACTACTACAGACCAAACAGGATGGCCACTCAATACCTCTATTGCAAACTACAACACCCAAAAGGAGAGAGAATAAAAGGGAATGCCCTGCCACTGAAGCAGGGTGGGGTGGTGGGGGATGGGGTGGAGGTGGTGGGAGGGATGCTGGGAACATTGGTAGGGGAGAATGGGCACTGGTGGAGGGATGGGTAAACAATCATTGTATGACTGTAATGCAAACATGAAAGTTAATAAGTTTGTAACTGTACCCCACGGTGATTCGTTAATAAAAAAAAAATACAATCTGTACCTGTGAGGCGAGTGCATCAGCAGCCTGATGGCACCATCAGACTTTCAGATACCCCAAAATTGCTGCTGTGCCTTTGGCCAGACCCCAAAAACTTGGGGCAAAGTTTACCAAGAAAGTAAACAGCCAAAAGTTAGGTATGTGGCCACACACCCACAAACCACCTCCGGCTCAGCTATATAATTGGAAGCATGGCCTCTCTGGTTCCTGATCAAACTGCTTAATGGACATGATCCCAGAAACTCAGAAACGAATCTCGGAACCCAAAGGCTTTTGGCAAAAATGTGTCCTGTTCCTGCAGTAGGTTACTGGCGCTGGGCCACTCCAGGTGGGAATAGGTTTCGTGCCTTGGCCTATTTGCCCTGGTGGCCCGGTGACCCCATCCTCCAGAGGCCACTGGTCAGTCAGGTTTGGGCGAGACACGTGGGGCCTCACCAGATGGGGGTGGAACTGGCCCTTTCCTCCCCATCTCAAGGAAACCCCAAGTTGTCGCCTACAAACGGCCTCTCTGGCTCCTGATCAAGCTGATTAACGGCCATGATCCCAGAGACTCAGAAGCAAATCTCGAAACCCAGCAGCTTTTGGCAGAAATGCATCCAGACTGCATACAAGGTGGCCGCTGCCTCAGAGCTTATTGGAAAGCCAGGTATGAGCCAGCAGTGACGGGGCAACTGCAGTCTCATGGGAAAGGGGGCAGTACCGGCTCATCCTTCATGCCCTCCCGAGGTCACAAGTTGCCCCCCACAAGCGGCTCTCCGGCACAGTCATGGCTCCGGAGGCAAAACGATTTAGTCCAGAGCCCAGCAGCTTGCAGCAGAAAAGTGAATGGACCATGCTGTAAACTTACAGTGCCATGCCTCCCCAGGAAGGAAAGGGTGTTGCTCCCTTCCACCTTTCCCCCCCACCCCCCAGCAGCAAGGTGGCCACCGCCTCAGAGCTTATTGGAAAGCCAGGTATGAGCCAGCAGCAATGGGGCAACTGCAGTCTCATGGGAAGGGGGGCAGTACCGGCTCATCCTTCACGCCCTACCGAGGTCACAAGTTGCCCCCCATGAGCAGCTCTCCAGCACAGCCATAACACCAGGCACACAGAAACCAAACTCGTAATTATCTGGCTCTTTGCAGAAATCCAAAATCATTATATGATTCTCATAACCAGCTATAGAAAACAAAGTATTTCACAATGCCTTTTCAGCAATTCTGATTGTTGGGGGGGAAATTCTAAACAATAATGGTGCATCTTTTGTCAAAATAATGAATGTAATCAGAGTAGATAGAGTTTTAAGTAGAATTCATCTGCCTCACAGGCATTGGGAGGGGTGGGAGGGGGGTATACAGGGGTTCTTGGTGGTGAAAAATAAGTACTGGTGAAGGGAGAGGTGTTTGATCATTGCATGACCAAGACTTAAACCTGAAAGCTTAGTAACGTTTCCCACAGTGATTCAATAAATAAATATAAGAAGAAAATAAATAAAATTATGGAAAAAAACAAAACAAAATTTAAAAAAATAGTAGTACTGCACTGTAGCACTGTCTTCCCATTGTTCATCAATTTGCTTGAGCGGGCACCAGTAACGTCTCCATTGTGAGACTTGTTGTTACTGTTTTTACCCAGGTTCGATTCCTCCAACCCTCTTGGGGAGCCTGGCAAGCTACCAAGAATATTTTGCCCACACAGCAAATCCTGGCAAGCTACCCGTAACATACCCAATATGCCAATAAATAAATAAATAAAATTTTAAAAATTGTAAATGTCTTTCTAATCAAATAACTATAATTTACAAAGTTAATGATAGTTGAGTTTTAGGCATATAATATCGAAACATCAATCCCACCACCAGTGTCAATTTCCCATGTTCCCTCTTCACCCCTGGAAAATTGTAAATGTCTTTTTTTTTAATTTTTATTAGTGAGACTCCATGAGGTACAGTTGTAGACTTACAAATTTTGTGCTTGGGTTTCAGTTATACAATGATCAAGTACCCATCCCTCCACCAGTGCCCATTCCCCATCTCCAGTGCTCCCAGCATTTCTCCCACCCCCCATCCCCCCATCCCACCCTGCCTCTGTGGCAGGGCATTCCCCTTTGTTCTCTCTCTCCTTCTGGGTGTTGTGGTTTGCAAAAGAGGCATTGAGTGGCAACCATGTTTCATCTATAGTCTACTTCCAGCACTGAGAGCCAAGATTCACTGACCTTTTTGTATCTCTAGCACCAAAGATGTTTTACTTGTCACTAAAAGGTAACAGTATGGCTTTATCATTCTAAGAAATCTGTGTTATCCATGTTGCCTTCATCATTGACAGTATAAAGAACATTTTTGAGAACAAATGTGAAAATCAATTTCATATTATATGGTCATATTATATGAAATATGGTCATATTATATGAAAAAGCGAGCGATGATAGAGTGTGCTTAAATTTTAAATAAATGACAGCTTTTAGCAAAGAGATAAGAACTAGAAGTCATAACGGGAATTTTGCATAATACTCAACTTATTTACATCTCTCATTCTACCTCCTCACTTTCAGGGAAGAAGAGCAATAGGTTGTTTTAAAATCTGATATTCATTGGACCAGCTGAAATAGTACAGTTGAATCAGAAAAATGATGTTTACTTGAGCTACTCATTTGTTAAGAAAAAAACAAAAACACCAGGAAGTTATCACATTCCCTGAAGAAGTAAAGTCCTAAAAAGACCTCAGGCCCCAAATGATTAAAATGTGCCTATTTTAGAAAAATAATTATATAAAAGAGGTTTTTTTGGGAATCTCACTGTTGTCAAAAATTAACTTTTCATATTCTACCAGATGTAGACCCAATAATAACTCTAAAAATTAATTAGCCATCAATTAATCATTAATTAGCCACGAGAACAAGGCTATGACTCAGCTGTATAGTACTTGCCTTGCTATAAAACCTTGGATTGATCCCTAACATCACCCTCCTACTTTACCTACCTCCACAAAAAAGAATTTGAGGTGTAAAATTCACTCTTTTATCATTGCTACCTTGGTTCCAATAACATTTTATAAAACATATCATCAATTTTATATTTTCCATTAACTGAACTACTTAGCTGAAATAACAAGATATATCCATTCTAAAACAGATTGAATGAGCGAGTGCATATGCAGTCTTTCCTTGCCCAAGCTGTTATCTAACCCAGTACAGGAAATAAAAGAGATGCCCCCAAGCAATGAATATAAGATTTGTCAGCCATAACATTCCCTGATGGAAAAACCAAAAGGAAGCAGAATGTGTAGAATCAAGTCAGCAGGTGAAACACCTACACTGGAGTATTCATCTGATTTCTAAATGAATCTCTTCAAGAGAAAACAAAGTGAAAAAAATCTTTTATGGATAATATTGTGAGATATTCATCTACAATTTTTTGGTGGAAAATGTCAGGGGTATGGGTATTTTTACCCATAAGGAAATAAATATCTTGCATCATCTATTATTCTATGTAAACATCTAACTAATTCTGGGGAAGTGAACAGACAGAATAGGGGTTAAGACGCTTGCTTGAATGTAGCCAGCCCTGATTCCCAATACCACATATGGTTCCCTGAGCATGACCAGGAGTGACCCCTGAGCAAAGGAGTAATGCACGAGCATCTCCAAGTATGGCTTAATCCCCACCCAATAAAAATAATTTTTTAGCATATGGTTAATTCACATCTTCCTGCAAGCTTGTACAGTTTTCAAATAAAATGAAAAATCAGGGCTGGAGAGATAGCATAGCAGGTAGGGCGTTTGCCTTGCACGCAGCCAACCCGGGTTCTATTCCCAGCATCCCATATGATCCCCTGAGCACCGTCAGAAGTAATTCCTGAGTGCAGAACCAGAAGTAACCCCTGTGCATCGCCAGGTGTGACCCAAAAAGAAAAAAAAAAGTGTTTGAAAAACCTTAGTCTGTATCAGAGATCAGGGTTTCTCAACCTCAGAACTGCTGACATTGTGGCTCACATAAATCTTCATAATGGGGAGCTATCCTGTCCACTGGAGGTTGTTCAGTAGCATTCTCATCTTCACCCCACCAAATCTCAGAAGCACTGTTCTGTTGGGACAACCAAAAATAGCTGCAAACATCACCACTGTTCCCGGTGGACTACCAATGGCCTCCAAGCAGAGGTTATATTTAGACTTCATTTTAAAATAAAACGTTTCATTTGTTTACTTTTGTTTTTCATTAAAACTGAAATAACTTACTTTTAAATTATCATTTTGTAAAAACATAAAACCAAATAAAATACTTCACACTAAACTAAGTTTATTTCGCTCTTCTTTCTTTCACTTACCCTGAAATGCACTTCTCAGTGGTTGATATGTCTCAGATGTATAGTCTGAAATGGACACAGTGGTCTCCAAGAAAACCATGGAATTGTTTTCCTTGGTGGAGTCTGTGATGTCTCCAGTATTTTGGAAGGAGTTTACAGCAGAAACTTTCAAATCTTCCATAAAACTTGTAGGCGTGAAGGAGCTTTGGTGAGTGAAGGTAGGGGACCCCTCCTTCCCCTGCACCATCAGCAGGGCTAGCCCTGTTTGTGTTTCCCCTTCAGGCTGCCCCACAGACACCTCTGCTACCTCTGTTAGAGGGTCATCCCTTTCCATGCCATTGTCAGTCTGTTGTGCTGTCTGAGAAGCTTCCATTTCCCCCTGAGTCTCTGCATTGTCTCCCAGCTTTGGGGTCTTTATCTGGCTTGCAGGCTCTAATTTGGTGTCATCCCACTCATCACTTATGACAGAGGCAGCTGGAACAGCTGTGCTGACACTCACAGTGACTTTCAAGGCTCCCAGCAGGCTGTCAGTTTCGAGTTCAGCACTCAGGGTATACTCAGAGGTTGCAAGTCGGAACTTGGGGGCAGGAGACTGGGTATCATCAGCTGTCATCTGCAAAGGTTCCTCCAAATCTGGCATGAGGCTCCCAGGCTCAGCACCTGTCATGGGTTCAGCACTGGGAAAAGATGTCCTGGATTCTGTGTCTGCTTCAGGTTTCTGAGTCTGCAGCTTCGTAGTTAGCATTTCCTTAGTAATCATGTAAGATGCAGGTGAATGTCCTAGACTAATTTCTTCCTGACTTTCGGTTGCAAACGTCTGATAATGCACAGAGTTCAGAAATCCTTGAGTTGCTTCTGTGGTCCCTTTGACAAGAGGTTGAATGCTGGTAGAACTGAAGGGTACCTCCTTCTTGTCAATATTCAGAGAAGCAGTTGCAGTGGTCGGGCTAGATAACAAGGCTTTGGAAAATCTGTTCTCAGGAGATGTTCTTAATGGATGGCTGGAAGCAAACACTTCGACTGGGATCACCGGTTCAGTAGCAGGGTTAACACTGGGGTTAGTTGGCTGCATAAGCCCAGCTCCAACAGGCAGGGCTTTATGCAATGATGCTGCTGATGGTTCTGCTAATACTTTCTCTAGATCTTCAGTGACCACTAATTGGGGAGAGTCCTGTGATGTAACAGAGCTATTTTCAGGTTCATCTGTGATCATGCTCTCTGACTGTCTTTTTTCTGCATGACCATGTGCTAGATCCCTTTGTGCTATCTTGGGGAAAGCCAGACATGGTGTGGCTATGTTGAGAAGGAGAAGGCTACAGAAAGCCAGACAAATGTGCAACCAAGCAGGTCTGTTCATAGTGGAAGAGCAATGCACACACAAATTGGCAATGGTGACAATTCCAGAGATGAAGCCCTGCAGGAAAAAAAAACATATTGCACTGACATATGTTTTATACATAAGCCCCTTTAAATGAGACCGTAAGTAAGGCAATCTCTTTCTCTACATGCTCAAAGACGATACATAGAACAACTGTTCTATTTCTTTGTACCTTTGAGACATGGTTAACCCAGTTCATTTTCCCTGATGAATTTTGTAGCTGATTTAACTTGAAGCTCTCTAGAAAAAGGTACACATAGTTCAAGTACTAAGTTCATCATTTTAGAAATACCTACTTGAAATAAACTACCCTCGAAGTCACATTTGCACTATTCTCCCCCAATGCTTCTAGCAATTATGGAGTCAAATAAGTAAAAATGCAATATTCTTAGACTATATAAGGCATATTTGGTTTTTACCTATATTACATTCAAAGAATATTCTAAATATTTTAAAGTTATACAATAGCATCATAAAATAATTAATGTCAGTTACATTCAAGAGTAGTTAAGCGTATAAATATTCTCTATTTAAATTTGTCTTAAAATGATTACACTATTTTTTCTTCTATAACGACTATAAAACAATATAAATAAGAGTAGAGAGATGGCAGGAGCAATAGTACAGCGGATAGGGCATTTTTCTTGCATGTGGCCAACCCAGTTTGGATCCCCAGCATCCCATACGGTCCCCCCAGCACCACCAAGAGTGATTCCTAAGTGCAAAGTCAGGAGTAACCCCTGAGCTGGTGTGACCCAAAAAGCAAAAATGAAAAAAAGAAGAACAGAGAGATGGCTCAAAGGACTAGTGTGCATGCTTTGCAAGAGGGAACCCCAAGTTCAACCTTTGGCACTTCCTGGTCCTATAGCATAGGGCCAAGAAATGATCCCCATCTCCCAAAAAAATTATGTTTCAAACTTTAAAATATAGAAAAAGAAAAATGAATTCATGTTAATTAAAATGTTTTTAGGAAAATAAAAATTTTAGTGGCTGGAGCGATAGCACAGCAGGTAGGGCATTTGCCTTGCACACAGCCAACATAGCCGACCCGAGTTTGATTCCTCCGCCCCTCTCGGAGAGCCTGGCAAGCTACCCAGAGGAACTCACCCTCACGGCAAAGCCTGGCAAACTACCCGTGGCGTATTCGATATGCCAAACACAGTAACAATTGTCGCAAAGGAGACGTTACTGGGCCCGCTCGAGCAAATTGATGAACAACGGGAAGACAGTGACAGTGACACTGAAAAATTTTAGAAGAACCAAACATGTTTTTTAACTATCAATCTCTTTGAGGGGTGCTCCTAAACAGTGCCCAAAGGACCCCAGGTCACATCCAAAATCTGGCCAATGGGTTCTTCAATTTAATATTGGATCCCAAGGATGCAGTGCTTCTTGGATCCTCATGTGCTAGAGACCACAGGACTAACCAGAGGTACTGGAAGGGTGTGCCAGGGATCAAGCCAGGGTCAATTGCATGCAAGGCATAGTCCAACCCCTGTACTACCTCCCACCTTTATAACCTAACCATCCTTACTGAAAATATATCACTGTACAATTAAAATTATTTGTATTTTTGAAAACTAGGATGTAGCTCATAAATAGGGTATTGGCATTGCCTGTGTGAGGACACAGAGTCAATCCCTTGGCATGGCAAAACAAATAAACAAAAAGGGCTCATTTGTTAACAAAAACAAAACAAACAACAACAAAAAAAAACACCTTTTTACCCTCATTGCAACAAAACATGAAAACAAAACTGATCATTTTGCCCGAAATTTACAGTCCTGAGTTCTACTATTTTTTCTGAGTAGGGCCCTTTCTTTACCCCCTCATGGAAAATTTCTCAGATGCTACAGATTTTCTAGAAAATTAAAGCTCAAAATTAAAATTCTAAAATTACTAACTTGGGGCTTAAGTGGTAGTAAAATAGGGAGAGAATTTACCTTGCATGTGATTCATTAGGGTTCAATCCCTGGCACCATGTATGGTCCCACAAGCCTCGCCAGGAATGATCCCTGAGCACAGATCCAGGAGTAATCCTGAGTACCACTGAATGTACTCAGTGGTACAAAAGCCAAAAAAAATTTTTTTAATTCACGATTTTTTTCAAATTAGAAAAATTAGGATACGGAGCTGGAGCAATAGGACAGCAGGTAGGGCGTTTGCCTTGCATGCAGCAGACCCGGGTTCAATTCCCAGCATCCCATATGGTCCCCTGAGCACCGCCAGGGGTAATTCCTGAGCGCAGAGCCAGAAGTAACCCCTGTTCATCGCCGGGTGTGACCCCAAAAGCAAAAAAAAAAATTAGGATAAAATAAAATAACAACCTTGTCATGGCTTTTTCTTTTCTCATCATTAAGCCCTGAAGATATATATAAAATTCTTGGGTCAGTACAGTGGTTAGGGTGCTGGCCTTACACACAGCCAATCCCAGTTCAGTCCCCAAAACCACATTTGGTCTCCCCAGGCTCCACCAGGAATTATCCCTGAGCACAGGAGGGCATGGCCCCAGAACAAATAAAAAATAATAAAATGATATGCTCACAGAAAATCTAAAAATGTGTATTTTCATAGTATCCTCATCTCTTCATGGATTCATCCTTTAGTCTGTTTGGTACTTTTGAGGCAGAGAAAAGCTCAAGACCTCAGAATATAATCTAGATGACAGAAAAGGAAAAGGCTCCTGCTCTCCACATGAGGAAAGAGGATTCCACAGACTCGGACTCTTGCCAACTACCAGCACCTTGTGCATGAGTCATATGGGAAGCAGACTCAGCCTTAGCAAGAAGACTGCAGCCCCAGCTGCTAACATCTCACCCTCCTCTTCTAGAAAGACCTGAGTCAGAACCAGCCCACCAAACCTCTAGCAAATTCCTAAGACACAGAAATGGAGAGGAATACTAAAGGTTTATTTACTACCAAATTTGGGGTCATTTGCCACACAGACACCTTGAATCTACAGTATTTGGAGAGAATGCCGAAAAAGAAAATGACAACACAAGGTCACATGCAGAAATGTAACTGCAGATCAAATACTGTAGTTTCAGTAGTAGAAGAGTTAAGTGAGAGACGAATCTGAGAAATATAAATGACCCTACCTCAAAAAAAGGAAATTTCTCAGAGATAATGAGTAGGATGTTACCTTTACCCCATATAGAAATTGAGGGTTTGAAACAATTAAGTACTAACTTGCACACAGATCACTGCATTATTTTACGTATTAGTTTGTTGAGGGTTTCCAAGTAATACTCAGAAGTCTGGGGCCACTCCAGCATTTCAGTGTTCAGCTCAGTGCTACAAGGCCATTGGGTCCAGCAGAGCAGAGCCACCAATGTGACACCTGTCAGTGCTAGGGTGAGAGGATATATTCTGCCTGGGACTGAACTTGGGACCTTGAGTATTGTAAGGCACATGCTGCAATCTTTTGATTTGTCTACCCTACCCCAGCCATTGTTTTAAAAAGAGAAAATACAAGGCCAGAGAGATAGTACAGCAGGTAGGTCATTTGCCTTGCACTCAGCTGACCCAGCACTCCATATGGTCCCCTGAACACAGCCTGTAGTGAACTCTGAGGGCCTTCAGGTGTAACCCAAAAATGAGATAATGTTAGAGAGAGAGAAAGAGAGAGAGAGAGAGAGAGAGAGAGAGAGAGAGAGAGAGAGAGAGAGAAGAGAGAGAACAGTAAGAACAGTAGTCTTGGGCACTTTGCTGATGGTGAGGTACAGTAACTTTGTACATCAATATATTAATAATACTGTAACCATGTAACCTTAATAATGATTTTTAAAAAGAGACAAAATGGGATCTGGGAACACTGGTGGAGGGAAGATGACACTGGTGAAGGGATTGTGTTGAATTACTATGTGCCTAAAATTCAACTATCAGAACTCTGTAAACCATGGCTCTTTCATAAAAATTTAAATAATAATAAGTAAAAAGAGAAAATACACAAAAGTTACTTGAAAAAGAGAAAATAGCATGTGCCAAGGCATGTGAATAATTCTGGATTATTTTTCAGGAAACTTTAGATAAGCTATAAAGCTTCCCAGTTCATAGCCAGGTAACAGATGGTATCTGTATTTTACCTGATGCTCTATTCTTCTTTCTAAAAACAAACAAACAGATAAACACACACACACACACACTCACTCAGCAAGAAAACAAGAATGGTCACCCTCTATAAAACTATACCTTTGGAAACTACAGCTTTGAATTATAAAGCTCTATATAATCAAAGATACATAAAAGCTACAGAAATGTAGTTCACTCTTCAGAGAATAGCCTTTTCCTAAGCAAATATTCTTCCCATTCAGTGAATTCTAACATCCCAGACATTGGAAGGTGTGGCCTCAAAGCTGGACCTACAATGATCCCATGCTTCTAGATTAAAGTAAAGTAAAAGTAAAGGCCCTCCCGTTGATCATCGATTTGCTCTAGCGGGCCCAGTAACGTCTCCATTGGAGACTTTGTTGTTACTGTGTCTGGCATATCAAATACGTCACGGGTAGCTTGCCAGGCTCTGCCCTGCAGGCAAGATACTCTCGGTAGCTTGCCAGGCTCTCCGAGAGGGGCGGAGGAATCGAACTCGGGTCGGCCATGTTGGCTACGTGCAAGGCAGACGCCCTACCCGCTGTGCTATTGCTCCAGCCCAATGATCCCATGCTTCTAGATTAAAAACTAAAAAATACAGGCCAGCATAAGTGGCGAGTTTAGGGGGATGTGAACTGAAATCAGAAATGTGATTCTTTAATCCTAATTTTGATGTTTCATTGTGGTACCAAAGATCAAATCCAGGGACCTCATGCACGCAAGGCAGGTGCTTTATTACTGAGCCACATTCCCAGTTCACTAGTTTTGATGCTTTTAAGGATTGTTACATGATACTGGGCTATGGTCTCAGTTTCTCCTTGGGCAAACAAAAAGTCAAAGTAATCTTTTTGTTTTGTTTTCAGGCCATATGAGGGATGCTCAGAACTTACTCCTGGCTCTGCACTCAAGAATTACTCTTGGCTTGCTCTTAGGGCCATATGGGAACC